CTCTCTCTCTCTCTCTCTCTCTCTCTCTCTCTCTCTCTTCCGCTCTCTTTACATGTATATACGCATATACATATATTTTAGTGTCTTTCATACGGAAAATGCCGACCATACGATCGATGCTCGACGAGGGGCCAGCTGCTCGAAATAGATGAGAAGGAGCCTCCTAAATATTAAAGGAGCCTTTACCTCGGCTTCACTTGCCCTCTGTGTTCGTCGACGCAGGACTGTCCACGTTCCTGCCATTATCGATTTTTTTCTTTTTTCCTCATCACTCTCCCGCCTCTATTCCTTCGCCCTCTTAATTTCACTGAATAAGGTAAACACTTGGAAAATCGGGGGCAGCCCGAGTTCATTCAAGAGTCACCTGCTGTCCCTTCTCCATTCTCTCACGCGTTTAGAGTTTCCAACGCTTGCCTCTGGGTCTAGGTTATGGCCTTTCCTTCGTGTATTCAGAGCACATCGCGCTATTCACTTCTCGTAATTATAACTATATCTCTCCTTATATTGCAAATTGCGAAATAACTCCGAGCGAGATAACGTGCCCTTTTTTTCCTTTTTTTTTTTTTTTCTTTTTCAAACGAATCTTGTTAAAAATACTGTTCCCTAGTAACGGAGAACTGTGCTTGCGTATGAGCGAGCATTCACCGTCCCTCCGCCGCATCTATTTCCTGCGTTCGCATTTTAACTTTCTGCATCTTCGAGAAAGATAAAATTGACAAGCGACACTTTGCTTGGTGGCAAACTGACCACCTGACTTCCGGTTCTTTTTGTTCCCCTAATGTTTGCTGCGCGCGACGTTAACGTTAACGCATGTTGCCGCGTGCGACATTTCGAGCAGTTACGAAACAAGCGAAACTTTCTTGCAATTTGTGACTCTTAGAATCGTCGGTTATCAAACGATAAATGGCACGCCGTCGAATCATATAATTTCTCAATCACGGAGTACATTAAATACGTAATTGCACGCTATCGCGCAAAGATTTCATCAGTTATTTTTTTCGCATAATCGCGAATTGTTAATAATAAATATACCAAGCACATGTATTTCAATGTTCTTTCTTTTTGAATGACGAAAAGATACGTTTAATCGTGAAAGCAGCGCTGGTGACGTCACGTTTAGTAGTATAGGTCTTATATTGGATCAACGAGTGCCCCGGCACTGCAGCTATCGCGATCTCGCGGTTGAAATGACAAACCATTCATCAGAAGTATTCTGACGAACATCGATGATAAGTAGAGACTTCTGACTGTGGAAAATAAGTAGAATGCTGCGATGCAAAGACCACAGGCTGGACAGATATCGTCTGGTACAGACATTAGTCAATGGTACAAGTAATAAAGACGAAGTATTTTTATTCTCATCGAACAAAATGCATAAGTATTATACATTAATGAATTTTTAAAAAATTAACAAAAGTATGAAATAAAATTTTAAAAAATTAACAAAGTATGAAATAAAACTTTAAAAAAGTAACAAGGCATAAAATAAAATTTAAAAAAATTAATAAAGTATAATTAGTAAAGTAAGTATATTGTTCGGCCTTACCGAAAAAATTAATAAAGTATAATTAGTAAAGTAAGTATATTGTTCGTCCTTACCGAAAAAATTAATAAAGCATAATTAGCAAAGTAAGTATATTGTTCGGCCTTACCGAAAAAATTAATAAAGTATAATTAGTAAAGTAAGTATATTGTTCGGCCAAACACAAAGGAGGTGGTTCGTACTGTGAAGGACAAATTCATCGAGCCAGGGAAAGCAATTTTACAATTTCTAATTTCTCGACGGCAGGGATCTCCCGTGACCATATTCCATGTCCTTCGTTACCTTGCATCTTCTACTGTAGTCACACAGGACTACCAATTCCAAGGCTCGTCATGCTCAAGTTTAAGGCTCGATAAATGAACTTTATTACAACATCTATAAATCCAAGCTATATTGCGACTACCTGGGACCGTTAGAAGGTGCAGGTACTACGTCCTGGGACCGATCTCGCTCACATCTGGAAGCAACTAACATATGTACCTCCCTAAACCATAAAATCCAGTTATACGAGACCAACGCACAAGGAAAAGGGGAGTTAATGTTTTGACAATCGTGCAGTGCGCACAGAAGTCTCGGAGCAACCCATCGACGTACGACAGGTCAAGATTCGACTATCAAACTCACTCAAATTTTATCAATTTTTCTCTTACGACAATTGTACATTCCTCAAGCCTACCAATCTAACGTTAAAATAACCTTTTTGAATCAGCTGGCTTTCATTAACGTTGAAAGACAGCAAGCCACCGATCTGTTGAAAGCTACTTATACGTCGAGATCAGATCGGCACGCTACATGTATAAAGTTGTAGAATTTGCTTCCGGTGATCCTCAATCGATCAGAATACTACAGAACACTAATTGTAAACTATTATAATTAATTAACTAATTACAACTATATGATTTTAACATTAATTAATTATTGAAAAAATTTTATAATTTATTATTTATTTTTAGAAATTAAATTTATAAATATTGAATATATTATATATATATATATATAATTATTAAAAAAAAATTTTTTTTAATTTTTTAAAATAAAATATAATGATTAAATTAGTAATGATAATTATTATGTAAATTATATTTAACTATAAAATATACATATAAGAAACTAGGCAAAATTATTGAAAATAATTTTAAGTCAATCTGCCCAATGAATAAATTAAATGGCTGCAGTATAACTGACTGTACAAAGGTAGCATAATCAATTGATTTTGAGAAACTATTATAACTATATTTATTATTTTGGAGAAATCGGATTGTGTGTTTTGAAGTCTTAAAACACAATGTATATGAAAAGTATAGATTGTTAGAAAAACAACTGCTAACAATGAATAAAACAAGTATGATTCAGCTAATGTTCAGACTTAAAAATAGTTATTTATATTCTACAATGGTATGAATATAATCGTCTACGAAAATCCTTATATTTATTTAAAAAAATATATAATTCTTATATTTATTTAAAAAAATATATAAAAAAATATAAAATACTTCAAAATAATATTTGAAACCATAGGTATGGATTTTAAAAATAGTTCATATATGTGAAAAACGGGGAGAAGGTTGAAAAATTTTCCTCAATTGATATACGTATTAATAAGGAAAAATAATATGATTATTATAATGAAGAAAAAGAAGGTAGAGATTAATGAGATAATTATATCGACTTGCTCTCGTCGTTTGATCGAACTTCTTTCCTGTCAATTATAGATTTTAGTTACGTTCCCGTGACTTTTCAACTTTCAACTTTTTTATATTTCTATAAAGATAAATATATTTAGTAATAATTAGTTAATTTATAATTTCTGAAAAATGAGATAGATACGATAAAGAAAATTATGAATGAACAGTAAATGAGTGTACTTGACACGATGAGGAAAGGGTTCACTCGAACGAAGTTCTTTCAAATTCTTGAAATCTAAGTCATTATTGTGTTCTTTGTTATAAATAAATGGGTATGTCTTAGCCATAGTTACGGAGTATTCTATTTGAAAGAAGAGACCAGCAACAACAACTGCTCCACCAAGTTCTTTGTTTAAACGTTCCGATTAAAATATATTTCATGCACGTGTAATTATTCAAGAATGTATTTGCATTTAGGTAGCATCCAGCATCGACAATTACAAGGAATTACGTACGATACATGTGCATGTCGTTTCAAGAATTATTACAGAGAATATTTCACGGTATTAATAGAAATAACATTGAAAAAGTAAAACCAAATATTTGCGCTTTCAATTATCACGAACGGTGGTGCCGTATTGAAAATTAATTAAACATGCGTCCACTATATGCGGACAATACAAAGTACGGACTCAAGTTATATATCATAATGCTGATGGTGATGGAAAAAATTTATGACAGTTGTTACAAGTGTCATTTTTATTACTTGACATCAGATATTCGAGAGTAGTATTTAAGCAAGCATGTTAATGTGCAAATAAGAAAATAATATTCGAGCAAACTCAGCATTGAAAGTGTTAGCATTGCTGTTACATTAAATCATCCTTATTTTCTGTATCGTTTCATCAATAGGTCATTTTTCCATTAGCGTCACTCTTGAAAGTCTGCCGAAGATGAAATTCGCTCCCGTTTGAATATCAGCGCTACGCTACTACTATTCATATGCAGATCATGAACTTCCTGATGGTACGTGGTACCGTTCGAGTAACGTCAGCTCCTTTGTCACGTTCCTCGATTTCGTCGGCGACATGTAGCATGAAAAGATCCGATCGAACAGGCATCGTGATATCATTTGCCAACGTAGCAATTACAAATGTTTCGTGGTGTAATTTCAAGTCAGGCAACAAGATCCGTTGAATGGACAATAGGCACGAGTATGGTCCCCAGAATAAAAAAGGTATGGCTCCTACATGGCTTATACGCGTATTATACTATTTTTTAAATTGAAAAAAAAGAACAATAGCATCGAAACGTTTCGTTATGCTATTTAGATTTATTTCAATTCAATGAACTGCAGGAGCACTAGATTTACGTGACACGAGTTTCGAATTAAATTACTAATTGCCCTAGTGACTTAACAACGTTGCAATTTAGTAATAATACATTTGAAAACGAAATGAATTAATAACTATTGGGAATTTCGTTCTATCTTCTTTCATATTTCGACACGATCTTGCGCAACTATGTACGTAATAATTCACTCCTTCCAGAAACTTAAATTAATCTCTGCTAAATGGGAGAATTGTCATAGAGGCCATTGAATTTACATAATTTATGCATGTACGTCTCGAAAGATTTCGAATTTTTTTCGAGAGACGATCAAATAAAAATAATGCCGATGCAACTTACGAGCGATTCCACTCAAAGTTGGAACACCAACCTTCGTAGCGATCATTGATTCCCAAACCGGCTGCGATGTGATCAAGGTCCTAAATGATTCGCTCACGCAGCAGCCAGCGCGGACTTTTATGTTAACACATCGCAGATTGTTCTGGGCTTTGAAAGAGAACAGAAGGATCAGTGATCCATCCAGTGCTTCTGCGGAGCTACAACCGGACAAAAAGCGTGAATTAGTAATTACGGAAAACCTCGGCGTTTGATTATCTGGAAAAACAACACGTGATGGATACATTTCGTTTTTACCTCCTGTTGCAATTATGCGTGCTGGCAGTGTCGCAAAAGACAGCTTTAGATTCACCGATAAATCTGTATTTTTATCGTCAAGTTCGTAATTGGTTGGTGCAAAATTTCGGTACGTGTTCGATTACTGTGCAATGAATCTTACACGGTGATCTTCCTGCATGTAGAAAGAGATAAACGTGTGATTCTCGGTTGGAAAGAGACGTTTTGGGAATGAAATTGTGAAAATGCGACGGTCAGGGACACAGTGATTGTTGGCTTCTGTGATACTTTAGAAGAAAAAGTAGAATTTGTAATGTTTAGATTCACAATGTGCAAGGAGTTCGTAATGGTTTTAAGAGAGAGCTTGTTTAAGTTCGTGGGAGTCAGTGGAACAAGGGCTAAGAGTTTCGATATTGTTTAAAGTTGCAATTAAGATGGAAGTGCACTTGAATCATTCACTGATATAGGTTTACATCACTGATCAAATTTGTTCCAGAGATTTTAAAGGAACCATCTATGGTGAACCGAATTTACGATCCTCTTGCACAATTATAATAGTATATTTTCAAATTATTTAGATAGAAATTAAATAATTATAAATAAATAATTATAATAGTATATATATATAGTATATATAATAAAATAAAATTAAATAATTATAATAGTATATTTTCAAATTATTTACATAGAAATTAAATAATTATAAATAAATAATTATAATAGTATATATAGTATATATAATAAAATAAAATAAAATAATTATAATAGTATATTTTCAAATTATTTAGATAGAAATTAAATAATTATAAATAAATAATTATAATAGTATATATATATAGTATATATAATAAAATAAAATTAAATAATTATAATAGTATATTTTCAAATTATTTACATAGAAATTAAATAATTATAAATAAATAATTATAATAGTATATATAGTATATATAATAAAATAAAATAAAATAATTATAATAGTATACTTTCAAATTATTGAGATAGAAATTAAATAATTATAAATAAATAATTATAATAGTATATATAGTATATATAATAAAATAAAATAAAATAATTATAATAGTATACTTTCAAATTATTGAGATAGAAATTAAATAATTATAAATAAATAATTATAATAGTATATATAGTATATATAATAAAATAAAATAAAATAATTATAATAGTATACTTTCAAATTATTGAGATAGAAATTAAATAATTATAAATAAATAATTATAATAGTATATATAGTATATATAATAAAATAAAATAAAATAATTATAATAGTATACTTTCAAATTATTGAGATAGAAATTAAATAATTATAAATAAATAATTATAATAGTATATATAGTATATATAATAAAATAAAATAAAATAATTATAATAGTATATTTTCAAATTATTTAGATAGAAATTAAATAATTATTTGCCATTAATTATTAAATCAAATATTTAACAGAAAGACAATAACATTCGTAATTATACGAACTTGACATTCACCGAAAAATTTCTAGGAATGAGAAATGAGGAACGATCGTTTCCAACGCGAAATCTGGAAATGGCTCAGGAGGAGGTTTCGAAAGACACTCCGTTTCCTTGTAACGTTACAGGTAATTAGAACGACGTTCAAAGAACAATGTTTCATGAAGCTGCTTCTCTTCCGAATTCACGTTTGAAATCTCTGAGTATTTTCGTACTGAACCCTTCCAGGTGGTAGGTCCCCTGAAATCCCGGAGTCAGTTCACCGTTTGAGGCCAGGCGACATAGATGTTATTGCCGCGATGGGCGATTCTTTGACAGCCGGCGCTGGACTTTATGCGACTAATTTGTTGGAAGTGTTCGTCGAAAATAGAGGCGCGTCAGCATTCATTGGTGGCCAGGGAACTTGGCGGACACACATGACGCTGCCTAACATTCTTAAAGTTCGTTTATTTCACGCGTATGAATCTTCCTCTTTCTTTTTCGGATCCTTTTCATAACCGAGTCTCCTTACACCTAGGAATTCAACCCGAAATTAATAGGCTACGCGTACGGAGATTCTTTAACTACTCAATCACCATCGCAGTTGGACGTCGCTGAAATTGGCGCAATGTCCAGAGATATGCCGTTTATGGCCAAATATCTAGTCAGGAGAATAAAAAATGACTCTAGGATAGATGTGAAGAGACACTGGAAGGTTCGTATCTCGACAGAATGTAGGATAAGTCCGTGATAGTTCGGTCAAAGTTAATATCTTAAAATTGAAGCAAGAGGGGTGTTGAAATAAATGAATCATTTCATTGTAGATCTCACGTCGACAATTGTATTGTAGACGAAAGTGTATTTCAGTTATAAATTGTAAATTTGAAACTTTTGGATCCAAACATTTTTTATTGCGCGTTATGATGTTAGTGATGTTTGAGAAACTAAGTAAGTTTATTTACACTGTTTCAAGTTTATTGACGGATATATAATGCGCGCAAAACTGCAATACAATCTCAATAATACATATTTACTTTTATTTTATGTTGATAAGATGACCGATCACGTCTTTGATTTTGGTATAGTTTGATTCGCTTTGATTCGGGACAATTCAATCCGTATTAAATAAGTATATTATTATTATTAATGATTATAATATAAATTAATAATAAAATAAGTACAGTGCATTATTATTGTAAATTAGTAAAAGTTATTAATTTATAAAAGAAAAAGTGTCGAGTGTCAAAAACATTCGGAGAAAATTATTTCAAAATTTCGAAAGGCCACGATTGGATTAAATGTGCAGCCGTTGGCTTCACGATTGATATTGTAAGTACGAAAATATATTTGCGGAAAGTCGAAGAAGAAAGGCATACCAATTTTATAATTTCTTCACTTGTTATACTTTTTCTGGGCTATATATCTCATTATTTTTCACGATTTAAGCCAGACGTGCGAATGAGATGGGAATTGGAAATGAAAATAAATAAAGTTGTCGCAAAATATGAATTATTTACATCCTAAATATAGTACGAACAACGCATAAATTTGGCTGAAACAACAAAAATCTGAGAAAAGCAACAATTGTACAATGTTTTTTTCAAAAAGTGATCGAACTATTCCAGACTTACTCTATATGAAGATAATACTAACATTTTAGAAGTAGAAATTTTAGCAAAATTCTCATATTTTACGAAATTTGAAATATTAGGAAACTTATGACCTATGACACAAGTGTGAATGAACAACAAATTAGGCAAAGAATTAGGCAAATTAGTTTAAGTATTTAAGTATTTGCCTCTGTGTTTTATAGCTGATTTCACTGTTCATTGGAAGCAATGACTTTTGTGCCGACATATGCACATTTTCCTCTCCGTGGTCAATTCTGGACAACCACAAACTTGATCTAATTAATACTTTTAAAATATTAAGAGACAATTTGCCAAGAACTTTGGTCGTTCTTCACATAATACCTCACTTGAAGGAACTTGTTGCTGCACGTAAAGGAAAAAACTTTTTGAAATGTTATCTGACGACTACTTTTGGATGTCCATGCTTGTTAGCTTTGCAATTCAGAGATCAAAGACAGGAGTATTATGAAATATTGCAAAGGTTTGTATAGTTCAAAAGAATTTTTAATATCCTTCCACCACTTAATGCTTAACTCTTCAATGGTATCGCGGAATGACAAATGACTATAAAAATTTGTATGTTATAAAAATTTAATGTTCTTTTTTCTATTCTATGTTATATCAAATCAGTAATAAATCAAGTTATGTAAATCTATCATAGCTTTCATAGCTTTCAACAACAAGTTCGTAAAGATTTTAGCATGTTATAGAATATCCATTTTATATTAATGTCATTTTATTTCTTATTTTTCTACTTTTTGTATAATATTTTTTATAAATTTCACGTTTCTCGTATTTTTTCTTGTTAAGCATGATCATTCTGCAGAAAGTTTAACATTCAATTTTGTTGAAGCTTGGTCTGTCATTGTTATACATTATTACATTTTTGAAACAAGTTTCGAATGTCGTTTTATACTGAAGTATAAAAAGAACATGTCAAGCGTGTCATCTTGCCTTATTTTTTTTTTCAGGTGGCAAGAGATAGACGAAGAAGTTGCTGATTATCCGGAATTTCATAGAAATGACTTTACTATAGTAGTTTCACCAGTTCTTAAACACACAAAACTACCACGTACCGAAGATGGACATACCGATCTGTCGTATCTTTCTGCTGATTGTTTTCACCTGAGCCAAAAATCTAATGCACGATGTAAGTATAATGTAAGATAAAACTACATATTATAATACAAAAAAAAAAAAAAAAAATTGTTTCATGTATCCTAAGTGGCAAATAATGTGTGGAACACTTTGTTGGAACCGGTTAATAATAAGACTAGTACTTGGAATCCTTTGTATGAAAAATTTGCGTGCCCTACTACAGAAAGACCATTCTTGATGACGCGTGAAAATTCAAAGGGGATCAACGAAGTGAAAGGATAAAGATTTTTTTCCAATTGAAGATGTGTCTCGCTGATTTTGAATCAAAGAAGACGATTTAGTGATTTAGCTAACTCAAAGTGCCATTTTAGTCCACGATTAAATTTTTTTTGTTAATTAATTAGCAAATAATTTATTTATAATAAATGTTACTAAATGTTACAAAAACTAAGTTACTTTCATTTTTTTCCCATTATTTTTGCAAGTGATATCATCTATCCGACCTTCATTCTTTTTATTGCTTCGTATTTTATTTTTAATAACCTTATTGCATATTTTCTATTAATTACTGTGGCATATATAAGTCTGAAGAATGTATATACGTACGTGTAATTTATGATTGAGACTGGTTTTTATTATTTTAATCATAAATGATGAATAATAAAGTTGTTCTTATTTTTTTTCCACTGTCTTTGCATGTGATGTCTAACCTTCATTTTTTTTCATTGCTGTTCTAATTGCATATATATTTTTTTTTTTTATTAATCATTTTAAAAGATGTTGATAGATGAATGATGGATGATGAGACTGTTTTAACTATTTTGTATTATATTCTGTACGATTTTTAATAATTTATTTGCTCTTCATTTTCTACTCATTAATTGCTAAAAATAATCTTACAAGCAGAAAAATTGAAATTATCAATGTAAAAACATATCGGACTACAAAAATCATGTGTAAACTAATAAATAAAATAATAATCGTTTCCTCAATTGTTATTATTGAAACCATTTCTAATATTATTATTTATTAGTATTCAAAATTTGATAGTTGCACGTTTGTTCTGAATTAATATACGATTTATATAGACGTTCCCTTGAAACATTTCTCCGTTAATGATTTACAATTGGTTTTAAGTCTAGAACTTGAGGAAATATATAATAATTATAATATATAATATATAATAATTGAGGAAATTGCCCGATCGAGAAATGCAAATGAATTTGCAAGGATCGAATCGATCAGTGACGTAGAAAATCTGTTCGTGTACGAAAAAGATTGAATTATTAACAGAGAATTGTTAATTGAACAAATTGAATCGCTACGCTTAAAGTTATACTTATTTCATGGCTAAAACACTGATAAGACTATGTCGAAGGATTTCGATATATGTAGATAGGGAAGAATGGATCAGAGGATAGCAGTGCTTGAGAAAGAATTTGTTACGGAGAGATTTCGCATATTGGAAAGAATTAAATCAAATAAGAAATCGTATCTGTTGGTTACACGATTTTATTGACGGAGGTCATGGGAATCGTACAGTTCAAGAAACAAATTATATGCTTGTCTATAGCCACTAGTGGAGGTTGAAGAACGTAAGAATGGTAAGAGGATAGAGGGATGAACAGAAAGTCCATCAGAATAGACGAAAATAAAGAGATCAGAATGTGAATGTCAACAGATGACATCGTTAATACAATTAAAATAATCCCCATAGAGGTTCGGCAGAAACTAATTCAAAAATGTACGAATGAAAAAAGATATTGTAATAATTATCCTAATAATGATCCTAATTGATCCTAATAATTGATTCTAAAAAATTGTTTAATGTATGTACAGAGAAGAGAAATCCGTGATGCGGATGGAATGTGTCTCTAAATGACTATAACCGTGGCTAGAGCCGTTCTTGCACCCATTACATTTTATTGCACTCATTATATTTAAGATTAGCAGCAGTATCATTTCGGATGACAGGAGCAGAAATCAACTGTAGAAAAAACTCAGAATACTAAGAAGCGATGTAGTTCGATTTCTGCAGAACTGTTTGCTTTCTGCAGGATTAAAACAGATAACAGAATGATGAAACATCGACGTTAAATTTCACACTTAAAATACAAAGAAAGTAAAAATTCTATTAAATACGCACGACGAAGGTTCGGAAAATATATTTAGAAATGGAGTATAAAAAAAGATGTCTTGTCTCTAGTCATGAACTTTGAAATCTTTTAAAATTTACATGGAAAAAATTAAATGCAATCTGAGTATTGAGGATTAATGATGTTACATAAGAACAAATATAATTTACATACCATTTGTATATGTTTTGCATGTATATTTGCATTTAATATGTTTGCATCAATTAATGGGATTGAATCAGTTTCGATATACAAATTACAATAATTATGAAAGTAAAAAAAGTGTTTGTCATTTTTGCTAATGTTTTCTTGTGTTTGCAAATGCGTAAAATATTCACACTTGATATATAAATGGTAAAAATTGTGAAAAAACATCGTACGTCAGGTCTAGGTTATTTTTAGTTAATGATAGAATTTCTGTCGTTCCCAATGTTACCGACAGAGCAGAAAATAAAATTACAACACCAATGCCTGTAATTAATTCATATGACACGAAGTTATAACTGCGATAATGATATTATTTGTTAAACGATATTTTTAATTAGATAGTTATTTTCAATTAAATTACCATCACCACCGACGAGGCATCTGCAACGTGATCGATAATCGGTTTAATAGGAAAGCATATTGGCGTTGATATTAAAATCATCAGGGATTTATTTATATTTATTTACTAATTTTAATCTATACTTTATGAAATTATAGAATTGTAGAATTTTGATATAGAATGTTATATAGGATGTATTTCATCATAAAAGTGCAGACTTTAATTGAATCCATCTTAATGTTACATATTGGGAAAATAAATTGATTTAAAAAATGTCAGTTTCTTTGTGTGCATTTAATAGTTCTGTAATATATTATTATTCGATCAAAGAGTTAACCTTTTGCTGGTTTATAGTTTGCTGCTGCATATGGTCATCTTATCTATATCATACTTCCAACAATCGATTCAAGTAGTCATCCAGTACTAGCTAACATTGCACCCTGAGGTCTGAGATAATAGGATTTACAGTAAGTAAGTACCCCGGGATTAAATCAAATCCCAGAGTAGTCCCTAGAGATTGGTGTAGTATCGAGATCTAAAGGTACAATATTAGGTTGTGCAACTAGAAGCATAAACAAGTTGTAATCTTACATGTATGTATTTTGGCTTTCTTCGTTTTATCTCACGAATATTTTGTCTCGTTTTAATAAGAAACTTTTTGCAATTAACAGTTATCGGAAATATTGTACACCTACGTACTGACTTTCTTCAAATAAAAGGGTGTCAGAAGTCCTGTTCGGCCTTACCGAACACAATGGGGATGAAATTCGTACCGCGAAGGACAAACTCATCGAGCCAGAGAAAGCAATTTTCTAATTTCTAATTTTCTCGACGACAGGGATTTCCCGTAACCATATTTCATGTCCTTCGTTACTTTGCATCTTCTATTGGCAATGGTCTCCATCATACTGCAGACAAGACATCCTGACTAATTAAATAATAAAAAAAAAAAAGAAAAAGGAAAAAATAGACAGTTAATGTTTTTTGGCAATCGCGTAGCGCGCACAGAAGTTCCGGAGCAACCCATCGACGTACGACAGTTCACGGTTCGACTATCAAACTCATTCAAATCTTATCATTTCACAAATTCAAGCTCTCTCTTACAACAATCTACATTCCTCAATCATACCAATCCAACCCCAAAACAACTCTCCCTTGAACCAACTGACTTTCATTAACGTTGACTTTCATCAACGCTCCTTATACATCGAGGTCAGATCGGCACGCAACAAGTCCAAAGAAGAGTCTATTGTGAATGAAGAAATGCATTTGTTATGAGGCAAATCTCGCGAACGAGAGGTTGGCATAATATGACTGACAAAGAACATTTCAACGAAATAATTAAAAATTGTCAGGAATTGTAATTGGAATTGCAATGGCAGCGCTTTTCTTAGAGAATAATTTAAAACTGATTTCTCACTGCGATATCGGGAAGTTAAGGGAAACCGTGTTAAGTGGTTTTAATTACTTACAAAACTTGGACAGATCTCAGAAATTTCCACGTCGCTCAACGACGAAGTGGATGCACCAGAGAACGCAGTCGCTATTCCATCTCTTTTATCTTCTTCCTTTTGGTAGAAGAATTCACTACTAAGTTTTTAGTATTCCTACGGTCCCTGTCGTCGAGGTAGCTAATTATTTTTTCGTTTAATCGATCGAAATGGATTTTACAATTAAAGGAGCTTTATTAACATCTCCGATTCCCCGTATATAATCCAATTTACATTCTACAGTGCTTTCTCTCAATGAGACTTTCACTATTAGGAAGCGATTAAATATTTTGATTGTAATTCCTCGATCCGTTTATAATGGAATTAACGTACAAGTAAATGTAGTGAATATTTTATAATTGCAGTTATATTATGATCTCTAAGAATATATTATGGTCCAGTTTTGATAATCTAATGCAATGGAATTGTTCAAGTCTTTTTTTGCTAGATAGACCTCTGAGTGGGATCTTACTAACAAATTTTACCTACAAATTAAGTGATCTAATTAAATCAAGATTTTGTTTTCTCGTGAGATTGAGGGCTTAGATTAAATATCTCATAAATTTGGTCTTGATGCGAAATATCATCCACAATCCGTGTAGAAAAGAGAAAACCACTATACTCGGTGATCTACTGGACTAAAGGGATCAGAGAAAATATTCTCAGAACGTTAAATCGGTAATGTTGGAAATGACACTAAAATGATAAGACTCTGGAATTCTGTAATGTTTGACAGATAATATATTGTACATCAAGTCTATTATTATCTTGTCTATGCTGATTTACTTATATATTTCGTATTTTATCTTGTTTAAATTTTATTTAGTATTTCGGATGAGATTATGTATTGTCGGTATTTTACCGATCATTAAAGCTGTCCATTCTGTAATCAGTGTTGCCATGTAGTATGATATCTTGTCGTTAACATTAGAACAACCAATAAAATTTCACTAGCTGGAACCACAACCAATAATAAGAAGTGTAAACAAAAGAACATGGATTCGATTGATCATTTCTGATAGTTCCAATATATGTAATGAAACAAGAAAGGCAGCATTTATTGCGTCTTTTTATTTTAGACTTCATTTTAGTTTTATAATAATTTCGTTTTTCTTATAAAATAATTAAATATTTATAAATGGTTGCAGTAAATGCGCAGATATATATATATATATATATATATATATATATATATATATAACTCGAGTATATAGAAATACTTGAATATATAGAAATGAAAAAAGAAGAAAGTCTGTTATTTATGATTTGAAATTAATGAAAAGAGTTCACTTAGTAACACGCATGCGCTTTAGTTGTATGATTCTGCTTTTAAGCTATTGTTACGTAATTAACAGAAGCTGTTGTTGGTAAACACAATATTTTTATCATAAAAAAATGCTGAAATTAATTAGTATGCAAGATGTTATGTTATACAATAATATAGCGTTTAAATACGATTTGTTTGAAAATTGTACACTAAAGTTTTCATTAAAGTTAATTCATATTAAAAAAAATTTATATATTGGAAAAAATAACTTTCTTGTATTGTGAAATTAATATTTTAATATCGTTTTAATAATATATGTTTATATATTATAAATTTTATGATTTTATAAAATTTTTTGGTCGATAAATATATTTTAAAGGTCACTTATTTACCGATATTCTGCGTTCAAGGAAAAGGCGGCAAACTCCGTTGTCATAGTGGGTGCCATTTTGAGTCATAGCATTATTGTGATAGAATCTGATTTTTATTAGATAATTTTCCTGTTTGTGCACAAATGTCTATAAAAAGAAATTTACAATTTACTTGAATATTATTAAAATTAAGTATATGTTGAAATCAAATGAATAGTAAAAATGTATAAATTGTTTTTAAGCTCATGTGCGATAGTTAACCTGAAATATATTCTTTGTTTGGTGTCTGTGGGTCATTGCTTTAATAAATTTTTGTCAAATAGCTGACTTCACTAGACTTTCATTAATTTTGTCAAATAACTGACAAATCACTAGATTTTCATTAATCTATTTTATGTAATTTCTGTATTCAGTTAAAAGTTATCAAAATTTTAACATATTTTAAAGTAAATATGCTTTTTGAGGATTTTGTTCAAGTTTACTGTTCATTAATTATAGATTTTCTTTAGACACATGTAGTTTAGTTAGTTTATATCTAATTATAACAATAATTTTGTAAAGAAAATGGCTCGAGCTTTTGTTTACACACGTTCTATTGATACAATCTTTATGGATATAAAAATAAATGGCAGAACATATGTAAGTACTTATTGAGACTTCATTTATTAATATGTTAGTATATTTTGTTTCTATGAATTTAAGCAATATATTTTAGCAATATAATGAACTTAGCTAACGTGTGAGTCGTTGACTGCTTTAATATTATGAAGTTTTATTTGTTTCTTTGGTCATTGGAAGCAAACATTGGTCCCTAATGCAGATGAAATTAAATTATCAAATTGGGAAACATAAGTTTTTAATAAAACTTAAGAACTTTTATAATAAATTTCTTAATCTTAAGATTATTTTTTTTACTTATGATTTGACCAATACTTTTTGTGTTATGGTTCCTTAATTCATAGATTGAAAATATCAAAATAATTAAGAAAATCTGACAAAATTACAATTTTAGTTTATTATTAACAATTGTATTTAATTGTTCCATTTTATCAATCAATTTATAAGACTAATAACTAAGTTACAGCTTCATTACTGAATTTCATATGCATTTTCTGATATTGTAATTTTATAAGTTACAAGTAACTTTCATTTATATGTTATTATTTAGCTTATTGTGTGTTTATTATTTCTGTTATTATCTTTTATTATTAATGTTTATAGAATAGATTTTCAGAATGGTTCATATTTAATTATGATTTATGTGACATTAACATAAATTATTGACATATTGTGAAATCTTAATTATCTGTATCTTATCAACTACATTAATAAGATAGGATGTCCATTGGTAGCACAAGTGAGGAAGGATTGATTCTACATGAAAAAATATGAATAAAGTTGAAAATGAGGAATAAAATTTTTTTGTAAGATGTTTAGTGTGAAAATTAATCGTTTGAAATATATCAAGCATATTTGGCTGATTCTAGATGTCAAAAGAAAGATTATTCCATGTGCAAAAATAAATTAAAAATGTAAAATAAAATTTTTTCATTTAAAGCTTCGTTTTGAAGAAAATAGGCTTTGAATATTTTTCTTCAAAAATTGCCTTGGTAAATTTGCAAACTCGAAAACGAAGAATCTTAGAAAAAAATTTTATTCTTTCTTCTCGATTTACTTTTTCATAGAATATTTATAGAATTTTTCATAGAATTTTATAGTAGAATCATGCCATTTGGGATTCGAATTTCGAGAATTTAAAAATCAGTTTCAAGCCCTAATATTGGGCTTTGCAATATGCTTGATGAATCTCACTCTATACGCGCCTGATACCACGCGATACAATGTTTATTGGATAGAATCGAAATTTTTGACATGGGACTTTATTCATGTATTGACCAAGATTTTCTCATGGTTACTGAAAGTATCAACTCATGAAGACTATTGGGCGCCTAGGAAAACTTTCTTAGCAATTCTAATGGAACTGTATATTTATACAAACTTGATCTCTATCTCTACTTCAAATCCTATCATCATTTTGAACTTAACTTTTGAAATAATGATCATATAAGTAATATATACAAAACCAAATATGATTAGCATACAAGAATATCTTTATACAAATATTACCAAGCTTATTATTATTCGTAATCATTTTCATGTAGATTCATATAGACTTTTTCATGATTAGTTTTAGAACATTTCTCATTGCCTTTTCTTTTGTGATTATCCTTAAATGGCTTCAATTTATCAGATCTCTGCCAGATGTCTTAGTACAAGTTATGTTCTTTTAAGTGGTGTTTACTTCTAAACATAGTGTCTAGTTCTAAACATAATTTTAATAGTTACATTTATCATATAATAAACTTCAATTAGTAGATTAGAACAGTTTCAGAGATTTCTTGTTCCTTAGGGTGTTACATTAGGTTGTTTATATATTTTTTTCAGTCGTCCAAACATGGAATACAAATAAAAGGAGAGTCACAAATCTGTCATGATGTGTCACCAGTTAACGTGAATAAAAAAAATCAAAGTGAAACAATAGATGACTCTTCAGCCCACGTTAATTGTGCAAATCAAAAATCTGTGTCCCCTGAAGAAAGTGTTTCTTTAATAAAAAACAATTCAAATCAAAATATATCAAATAACAAACAAAACAAGTCAGGTTTTAACGAAGAAAATGATAAACATAAACTGGCTGAAGGAAGCAAACTAACTTGTGATGTTTGTTTTTTAACCTTTGAAAAAGAAGCAACATTGGAAGTACATAAAAAAGATTATGCTTCTGTGTTCAAGTGTCATAAATGCTCTGTAGCCTTTCATAGGCAACGTTCTTTGACTTTTCATATGAGGCGTGATTGTAGAAATTATGGGAGAAAAACAAAATTCAAGTGTAATTTTTGTAATCGAAACTTTTGCTATAATAAGCAACTTCAAGCTCATTTATTCCATGGACACAGTGATGAAATATTTTCTACTGAACGTAGAAATGTGACAGTACCTGTTGTATCGTTAACAAGATCAAATTACTCGGGCAAAATGTTAGCGCAATCTAATAAGAACCTTAGTCAGCAGAAAAAAAAATTTCAGTGTCACATATGCAAGAAGTCATTCTCTTTGAAGGAGAACCGGCGCGAACACGTGAGATTGTTTCACTCAATTTATATGTCGAGTATATGCAATGCGCGTTACACGACCATGAAGAAGTTATTAAGTCATTACATACGTCAACATATAGTGTTTAAACGAAAGAAATGTTGCGTGTGTTACGAAAAATTCACCTCGTTAGCCTTATTGAAGCGACACATGATCTTGCATTGTGTGAAAACTATAAGGTCCAGTAAGGACACTCTGCCAGTCGACGTTGAAATAAACTGCAATGCGTTAAAGAAACGACACAAATGCAAAGGTTGCCACAAACAATTTTGGCTGAAATCGTGTTTGGAGCAACACGAGAAAGTGTGTAGTCGACTGAAGTGCATAATTCGTGACAAACAGGACGCATCTCGCGTAGAACTTAACTCTTCTTCTGAAAAATCGAGTAATGAAAAAATCAGCAGAGTAAAAACACCTGAGCTAGAAAAAATGTTGGCTGCTCTGGATGGGGCAACAACTTCGGAAAATTCGGCCTCAAGTATGCCTGTTTCAGAAAGCAATCTTTGCTCCATCCAAACAAGGATGCTTAATGGGATTGCATGCGTGAAGGGCTACGAAATTACTAACGTGGAGAAAACGAAGTTCCCTTGCACCATTTGTGGAATACAGTTCCAGATATTCCAGAATTTGTGCATACACGAGCGCACTTATTGCCAACCAGTTATTAACAAATGTAACCATTGCAATACAGCATTTTCTACTAAAAGATTATTGCAACGACACTTACTTGCTACTCATACACCATCGTACAAGAAAAACTTTATGTTATTTTGCAAATTTTGTAATCAAGGATTCCGTAAGAAAAAATATCTACGAATGCACGTAGGACACTTCCATAATAAACAGGATACACCACCGCTAAACCTTAATTTAGAAGATAAACCGACCTGTAACATATGTCACTTGCTTTTCGAATCATACGAACACTTTATTGAACATAATGTATATTACTCGAAGGAAAGTTATTTATGTTCAATATGTGAAAAATTGTTTTCAGGACTATATCAGCTTCATCATCATCACAAATTAAATCATTATCCGGATAGAATACGAAAATTGTACTCTTACAAATGTAATATTTGTAACGAGGGCTTCAACTATGAATCGCATTTTCATGCACATAAATTACACGTTCATTCAAACGATTCGTCCAAATTGAACAAGTTGCATCAAACTTTTGATGCAAGAATCTCTGATTCTTCGAATAGATTAAAATTTGAAACGGAGTGAATGTTTGATTAATTAGGATATTTCCAACGCAGTAATTAACTCAGATCGAAATATATATGAGCATTTGTTTTCCCTAATTGTAGCATATTCTTTAAATAAAAACTTAAACTCAGATGTTTTTCTTCTCTTGTTCATACACAAAATTCATACGCAGAATATGATTTTGGATCAAATTAATCTAATTTCTAATTGATGTATTCGCCTCGTGTACATTTCAATCTTAATTAGTTTTTGTGCATAGTGTTGTAAAAATATACTTTATCAATCAAACATTTGATATATAGTATTTCACATTTTACAACATATTTTTAAGAGTTTCTTTTTTATTGTTATGCGCATAATGGCTGTTTGTGTAAGTGAATGTAAATAAATGTGGTTCAACATTTGTTAATACTGCGAACTTCCACTTAAAACTTACTCTATTGGAATACGTTGTGAAATACATGAATCTTCTAAATGACATTATTGTATATATTGTATTTTTAACACTGTAGTTATTGATATAATTTGAAATTGTTCATCAAAACAATGTTCAAAGATTCAGGCAAGATATTATCTAAAAGATTTTATGAAATGCAGATATGTTTTAATCGTTCTGTTCTAATTTTTTAATCATTCAATTGCCAGTGACTGTGATCTACTCATAAATTTCCATAAGCTGAGCCAATTATGCATTGTTGCTAGTAATCGAAAACTGTTACAATTATTTAAAGATCCATTTCTGATAAAACAGAAACGGCTTTTTTCTCAGATATTGTTAATTTTTTAAAAAAATCTAGCTTGGACAATGATGTAATTTAAGTATGTAAATATCTATATGAATATGATAAACTTGTTTTATTATAAGTAATCGATATAGGAGATTATGCATGTAGAATTTAGTATTATAAATGAATGTTATATAAAATCGCATTGGAATTGTAGATAACTGTTTTGAATTGTATAAACAGAATATTGGATCTGATCAATTAGATCTTCGAGTATTTTTCAGTTCACTCGAAACCTACGAGCTGAAAGATTTTGAGTTAATGCAATTGATTTTTAATATTCACGAAAATCTCCAATTCCAAGTTATTATTACCAAAGTAAGAGCACGATGATGATTGGTGTGCAAAACTTACACACTCTTCAAATCAAACGCGTCTGACCCAGTATAAACTGCTCTCAATTCAAACATCGAGCACTGACTGAAGTTTGGGTGTCAGCCTTAGGCGCTTCCTGTTCATTGTTTGCGATGGTTTCAGTTTGTTGAACCAGAAGATGCCAAGCACTCTAGGCTAGACAACAAGCTAGAAAACGAGTAAACTAGCTGTTCCATGCTGTCCCTAACATTATTTGACATACATCATTTTATTCATTTGAGGCATAAAGAGATCTATCCTGTCGTATCTTTTGATAATTTTGGAATTTGGAAAAAAAATAAGTAGTAAGTTTAAGACTTTGGTAAATAATCCATGACTTTTTCGAATTTTGTCTATTTTTTCCCTTCAATGCTTTATTATAATATATCATTAAAACGAGAAATCAGTCGGCAGAGATTGAAAAATATTTTTGTATTTTTGGTATTTCGATATGTTTGTCATAAAGAAAAAAAGAAAAAAAGAAAAAAAAGACAAAGAGTATAATGTATTATAATTTTGGGAAAAGGCATCCGTTTTCGAAAACGAATGACCTGGATTATCGTCTAGCATCCAGTCAATATTTTTTTTTTTTAATAAAAATACAATATTTTTTTAACGATAATATTTGTTGAATTTATATGTAAATATAGTCTTCGGTAAAGTTTAAAATCGAACGGCGTGGGTATATGCCTTTAAAATTTAAAATCCCTCTCTCCCTGCACCCCTATCTTGTAAAATATAACTAAATCTAACTTACTTTAGTCTTTTATTCTAAATTAAGATAGTAGTTATATTTTATAATTTGTATTTTTATAAAATTTTTAGCTTGTTTTTATAACTTATATTTTTATAAAGGGATGCAGGAAGAGCGGTATGCATTTGGATTTTGAATATTCTCAAAGGCAATATGTGCATATTGTACGTGTTAAAAATATTATGTTTTTACTTATTTTTATCGGAGAAAAAAAAATTCGGCCGCTCAAATACTGAACGAGTATTTGAACTCCAGAGATTTTATCTACCAGGCGATCATTGAGCTATCCTAGTTGAAAGTGGATGTCTTCTTTCGTAATTGTATCTTGTTAATTTAGTTCTTCTATCTTCTAGATATTGTATTTTTTAGTTTTTAAGTTAAAGATGTATGGAACTGAGCGCAACATGTATTGTTAAAATTGTCATATTATAATTTCGATAAAGAAATAAAGAAGGCAATGCTTTTGCCAAAGAATGGGTAAATCAAGTATTCTCACGAATTTCCGTCAGTTTTGATGAAAGTTGGGAAACTTAATATGATAAGCGATACATGATATGATATTTTTAAATGTGCATGTTCTTAATAAATTGCATTTTCTAGAAAAAACAACGTAGACTTTTTCATTATTTAAATCGCATTCTTTGTTGTGCGAACGGCCTCGCATCCGAAATGTCTACATATAATTCACGTTAATTAAAAGACGTTAAAATTACGTATGTGTCTGTATGCTCGGGACTCGAAACAAAGTGTACCCGTGCCATTGTACAAAGCGAGGTTAATTAGAAGATTGAACGTTTTTGTTCAATTACAAACGACAATGATTCGCTACGGTCATCAATCAGCAGTGATTGCATAGAAACAAATTGGCACCTCTTTCCAAAAAAAAAAAAAAAAAAGAAACATCAAGCATATTCGTGATAAGAGAGAAACGACTTTTCAAATTTTGTAAAATTTTTGAAGTTAAATCGAAGTGTCCGCCGTGTTTCAATCATGAATTATCATAAGATGGATTATCAAGAGGAAGAGAATTTCTATATATATAGAATCTCGAACGAAGTGTCATAATCGAGGATCAGCAAACGTCGAGCAAGAACGAAAAAGTTGAATGAAACATTTTACTCCATTGTAAATTTTAACAAACAAAACAGCAAGCAGTTGAACGCAACACGATGACCGGATTCTTCAGCCAGACTGTGTACTCCATAATGAAGGGAGTTTCGGCAAAATCCAAAGATGCCTGATCTAAATTGGGTTGAGAGGGAAGCTTATCCACATTTATCAGGCTGACGGTTATATTGCGTTTCAATTGCAGCGCGGTAAGTTTACGAGAATTGAATTTCAACGAAGGAGATCCGGAGTATGGCTGCCGGCCCATTCCATGCATTACAAATCCCGCCCAGCCTTTGAACGCGTCTCCGTGCCACGAAATGATGCGATATCAATATTGCCCACAGTTACCCATATAACACTCGACAAAGCATTCTAACCTGGCCGACATTATTATGATAACATGTACGTTGCCCGATAACGTGACACGCGACACGAGTATAATATTAACGGGTGTTCTCTAACATGCCTTTGTTATCCTGCCGTCCTTCAGTCACGTTATTTTCATCCCGGTCACGAATGAAATTAATGCACCGTATTTCCTGTTTGGCATACAACTTTACGAAATCGGGAGTTACGTTTCGAACACACGTACGTTTTCTCCCCGGTACCTGTTTCTCTTGTTATTCTGCGTTTATTAATGTGTTATTGTTGCTGACATTGCAAGCACGATATGGATTACAAAATTTTTTAATCGTGGAATCTTTGTCCCTGGAAAAATTCTTCATCGCTGCTGTTTATTAATTTAACTCAAATGAAACGTGGTTTTGTTGAAACAGCCAGCGAGCCAAAAACAAGCGGAAGCTTCTACATTGGAGCAGAAGTATTACCGCTAATTTCAACGCATGAGTTCGCCGAGATTTATGTATGTTTCTTACAGCATATATGTAGCTCGACAGACGATTGACGAAAGAACAACATTATCACGTTCTCTCCGCCGCACAATTTGGATGTCGAAAGTTTCACCTCGTAGTTGGTTTCTCGCTCGTACTTCATAAAAACTTTCCATATACTTGGTAAAAGTCTATTTCCAGCGGGTATGTATTTGAGCTTTCCAACTATTGATTCGAGGCGGAGAGTTAAAGACAATCACGGTTTTATTTGACTTCCTGGTCTTGCCGTGAATATGCTACGAAGAGAATTCGAGCAGATTAGTAGCTCGTACGCCTGTGTGTTAACTTGTTTCCCTACGTTTGACAACTATAATTGGTGTGATGTCAAGGAATTATCGATCAGGATCACGAAGAAACGAAGTTATAAACACGAAACTGATCGAGTAGAACAGTCTCTGCGTTTCGACGTAACCTGAACGTTGATAGAATGTACAGTTACCACGTTTTCATCGCACGGCAAATGTAAAAAACGCGTCGAGTAACGTAGTGTAGAAGTAGCGACTGGACGACCGACGAAGGGAGAATCGAGGTGTTAAAAACGATACGCCGGTGCACCTTTAAAAATACGTTTCCCGTGCATGCTCTTACATTCATTTCACTTGCAAATTTTACGATTGATCCTCCGTGCGGCGCGCGGCCGCGCGTGCTCGTCCCAGTTCCGTACTCGAAATTGGGTTTGCACGTTATGACGGCTGTACATCCGATTGCAAAGTGCAAACGGTGCATCGGATTAACGAAAATCAACTTGCCCGTGCATTCTGATGGCAAATGTTAATTGGATCGATCCGGTGTGTCGTATTTCCAATCGAACGCAATCGGAGAGATCATCGTCGTGTTTGCACCGTTTCGTGACAAGTGACGCAACCCCCATTGAATGATAGTGACTTGAAATCCAGTGTCGCTAGCAGCGTCGACTGGTTCGGTAGAAAGAGAAAAAAAGAAAAAAATGGAATTGCCTGAGATTCCCGGCGGTAATTGGGTTAAGCGGCGCTTAACCGGCCTCTTTTCCCGGACACACCACGCTGAAGATGCACTTCTTCGGTTGTGCTCCTGCGAAATCCAATTCTACACCGCCGATTCGAAAGTGGAGCGCGCGAGGCGGCCGCGGCCGCGCCCGCGCCCGGACATGCCGAGCTACCTAGTGATTTCACTGGAAAAAGAACCGAATGCGGTTTTCGATTCCGGTCTGGCTGAGGTGAGGTCTGATAGAAAATTGAATGCGGTCCGATTATCCTCGGTCGGTAAGCTTCTTATCCGTAGAGCGAATGGGACGGTGCGGCCCGCGCCCGGAACCACCGGGAACAGTGGGAAGGACAAAGCGAAACCCAGCACGACCCCGGATGAGAAAATCGGGGAACTGGAGGTAAGATCATTCGTTTTTGTCGCGAGGCTGGTATTAAGGACTTAATTTCAATCCTTGGACGTGAATTTATTGCTCGAAGTGACAAGTGTCCTGGCCGACAGAAATGACGTTTCTCTTGAAATGTCTTAATTACTTTTCTCTAACCGCTTCTCTGGGGTGACGCGAGGTAATCAAAATGAAACAGAGACCAAACGACTTACAGTAACGCAGTGGTAAATGAATATCGTATTTCTTTCAAATTCAGTCGTCGACCATGAACGAGATTCTTCTCTTTAGACGGTTAGACAGGGTTTACAAGTCTGTAAATTTGGTCAATCCTCGAGGAGGAATAGTATTTTCAATTGACCAACTGATAGACATTTACACTGCGTGTGTTGTACGAAAGATAAGCAACTCGATTCGACGAAGAATCTTGTCGCGTTTTATCAAGACGACACTCGGCATCTCGGTCTTGTGGTTGGCATCTCTTGGATCACGAGAAAATCGTTGTTGCTAATTTAACGAGCTGCCTTATTTTTAATTAAGTCACTGACCTCCGGGTCTCAGTCTTATCTAAAGCGCGAACATCAAAAAGGTCATTCTTTCTATGACGATTCAACGTCTTCCTTTTCTTTTTTTGTCACCGCTCGTTCTGTTTAGCGACGTCGAGCCCCGGACCTGGGCCGGCTTTATCTCGTCTCATCCATCTTGTCTCTGAGCTCCTTTATCAGACGGCACTTGTATTATATAGAGACTACCCTAAGTTGCGACCAGCCGTTTCCGAATATACCAGCGAGTAGACCTTACGGACATTAAATTTTACGTCCGAGTCGAAGAGAGAGAGAGAGAGAGAGAGAGAGAGAGAGCAAAAGGTCACGGACGAAACAATAAACGGTATGTTTATGAAGAAAAATTTACCAGGAGAAAGGAAACCAGCCTCATTTACTATACGCAGATGTTGCTTATGGAATTTCTTACTAGCGAAGATTTCGACGACTAGCTTATAGATACGTAGCGATATAAGTGGCACCGTTTACGCTCGCTGGGACTTTGAGTTTCAGAAACTTTAAAACTTGGATTTGCACTAGGGGGGCGACGATTCCTAATAATCCAGTCTAGATTCTCGAGAACGAAGTTACGACTTTCTCGAAAAGATAAATATCGAATATCACAAGAGTCGGGGGCTTTCCCGAGCATTTAAGCACGAGAAATACGCGCACTGCTGCATCTCGGACTAAATCTGAAAGTGTAGGAATTGAAAATGCTGGTTATTTTTGAACGTTGGTTTGAGCTCGCAATAAAAAAGCAATTGAAGTTCAAGTAGAACGGAAATTCATCATTAGCGCGA